GGATGGTATTTGCAACACTAAAGTTTTAAATTTTGGTGAAATCCATTTTATCTATTCTTCTGTTGCTTTTATTTTTGGCATTGTATCTAAGAAACCGTTGCATAACTCATGGTCACCAAGATTTATTCTTATGCTTTCTTTTAACAGTTTTTTAGTTTTAGCCCTTGATCATTTTTACTTGTTTTGTGCATGGTGTGAGTTAGGGGTCTGGTTTCACTCTACACGTGGGTATGAACATCTAGTTGACCCAGCACTCTTTCTTGAGAAGATTATTCATTTTCTCTTGAATTATTTTGATACCCTTGTCAAAAATCAGCTGACTGTAAGTGTTTATTTGTGGTCTCTGAATTCTAATCCATTGATCTGTCTATCGTTATGCTAGTACTACACTGACTTCATTATGTGGCTTCATAGTAAGTTTTACAACCAAGAAATGTAAGTACTTCTTTTAGAGAGATAGTATAAATGGGAAAAGGCTTTCTTAAAGTGTTTTTCTTTTGAGTATTAAGTAAAACATTCCTTTTCTATTAATTAGATTGTACCACTACATTTTTAAGTTCTTTACGCATTCAGGTACCTATTTGAATTATAAGTGAGCCAGCTCATAATTTTAGTTTAATTTTTTCTAAACATTACTCTTCCAGAGTTCTTCCATCTTCATATTAAATAATTATTTTTTCTCTTGTTACTCTATTTGAACAGTTTTTTATTAAGATTATTTTAGTTTCATTGTTTGTTTTTACTAATAACAGTGCCTGATTCAGTCCTCATAAAAGTTGCAATGTGACCTCAACATAGTGGATATTTTTTTTCTTGGAGTATTTGTTAAATTTTTTTTACAATATTAAAAAGCAAAGATAATAGGTACTAAAATGATTTTTGTACATTTTTCTTAGCTTCTTGCAGTGTCCGTCACTAAAACATGGTATCCCTTATGCCTCTTACCCTGAAAGGTTTCTAAGCCCTTATTCCTTCTGGAAAGTGGACATGACTTTTTCTGCTGCTACTACCCTTACCAGAGTAAATTTTACTTAATCCCAATGCTTTTGAATTTTTACTTTCTAGGTTAAAGACTGAAACGGGTATATCTGATTAGCAAAATCTATATGTATAAGGCAAGCTGGGAGAGCAAGAATCTGTTATTTCCAGCTTTATTTTTGGAAGGTGATACCTGACTCCCACCCATATATGTAATGTAAGGAAATCTGTAAATATAGCAGGGGTCTCAGATGTTGGGTGGCTGCAAAAAATGATATAGGTTTACTATCCCAAGATGACTCCCAACACATACCACCCTTGATCTCTCCCTAGAGTTCCAGATTAATGTATTTTCAAGTCTGTTTGACATGTCCACTTCATATCTTGTGGTCATCTCTAACTGTATATATTCCTAAAAGATCTGTTGATTTTTTTTTTCTTCCCAATCCATTTGTTTGTTAGTCTTTAAGTAACTTGTGCAGGCTCTCAGTAAATTGTACAACTCCATCACACTAAACGTACATCTTGATTTCACATTTCCCTCATTCCCCCAGTGTACTCCATCAGCAAGTCCTATTAGCTTTACCTCTGAGAGATTTCCTAAATCTCTATAGTTCCACTGTTAAGATGATTTTTGCCATGTGCTTTGCAGCATGATGAGGAGTTTCATGCTTTCCCCCCTTTTGAGCCATTTTTCTATTCTTTATTCAGAGTTTTGTTATTATTGCTGACAGGGTACTGGGGATACTGACTCAGTGTTGCTTCTGAGAACAGGTCTGAGTTATAAATCACCTCTAAATTGAGTCATCATTGAGGCAGTATGGGCTTTGTGGACTGGCCAAGTCCTATCAGAACATTTCTCCCTGCCTTTCTATTGACAGCTTTATCCTCATCTGGTAGTTTTTGAACTATAAGTCAGATTGTGTTCCTGCCCTGCTTAAAACTTTCCAGTGATTACTATCCAATACAACTTTCAGTGAAGAATGAAGTGTTTTGTGTATGTGAACCATTCAGTATGATAGCCACTAGCCATATGTGGCTGTTGAAAATTGAAACATGGTGGATGGAGCTGAGGAATTTAATTTTTTATTTTAATTACGTTTAAGTAGCTATATCTGCCTAATAGTGTATTTGGCAACACATCTCCATGGACTTACCTTCATTCTTTTTTTTTTTTTTTCATTTATTTTTATTAGTTGAAGGCTGATTACTTCACAATATTGTAGTGGGTTTTGTCATACATTGACATGAATCAGCCATGGAGTTACATGTATTCCCCATCCCGGTCCCCCCTCCCACCTCCCTCTCCACCCGATCCCTCTGAGTCTTCCCAGTGCACCAGGCCCGAGCACTTGTCTCATGCATCCAACCTGGGCTGGTGATCTGTTTCACTATAGATAATATACATGTTTCGATGCTGTTCTCTTGAAACATCCCACCCTCGCCTTCTCCCACAGAGTCCACAAGTCTGTTCTGTACATCTGTGTCTCTTTTTCTGTTTTGCATATAGGGTATCATTACCATCTTTCTAAATTCCATATATATGTGTTAGTATGCTGTAATGTTCTTTATCTTTCTGGCTTACTTCACTCTGTATAATGGCTCCAGTTTCATCCATCTCATTAGAACTGATTCAAATGAATTCTTTTTAATGGCTGAGTAATATTCCATGGTGTATGTACCACAGCTTCCTTATCCATTCATCTGCTGATGGGCATCTAGGTTGCTTCCATGTCCTGGCTATGATAAACAGTGCTGCGATGAACATTGGGGTGCACGTGTCTCTTTCAGATCTGGCTTCCTCGGTGTGTATGCCCAGAAGTGGGATTGCTGGGTCATATGGCAGTTCTATTTCCAGTTTTTTAAGGAATCCCCACACTGTTCTCCATAGCGGCTGTACTAGTTTGCATTCCCACCAACAGTGTAAGAGGGTTCCCTTTTCTCTACACCCTCTCCAGCATTTATTGCTTGTAGACTTTTCGATAGCAGCCATCCTGACTGGCGTGTAATGGTACCTCATTGTGGTTTTGATTTGCATTTCTCTGATGATGAGTGATGTTGAGCATTTTTTCATGTGTTTGTTAGCCATCTGTATGTCTTCTTTGGAGAAATGTCTGTTTAGTTCTTTGGCCCATTTTTTGATTGGGTCATTTATTTTTCTGGAATTGAGCTGCAGGAGTTGCTTGCATATTTTTGAGATTAATCCTTTGTCTGTTGCTTCGTTTGCTATTATTTTCTCCCAATCTGAGGGCTGTCTTTTCACCTTGCTTATAGTTTCCTTTGTTGTGCAAAAGCTTTTAAGTTTCATTAGGTCCCATTTGTTTATTTTTGCTTTTATTTCCAATATTCTGGGAGGTGGGTCATAGAGGATCCTGCTGTGATTTATGTTGGAGAGGGTTTTGCCTATGTTCTCCTCTAGGAGTTTTATAGTTTCTGGTCTTACATTTAGATCTTTAATCCATTTTGAGTTTATTTTTGTGTATGGTGACTTACCTTCATTCTTAAAGTGGAATCCAAACTCTATGGCAGCCTTCTGTGATTTGACATTTGCTTATCTCAATAGCTTCATCTCATGTCGTTCTGTCCCTTGGTTTAACCTCATTGGCCTGCATTCTGTTTCTAGAAATCACTAAGCCCTTTCTCAAATTAGGGTCCTTTCACTTATTTTGTTCATCTGGAGTGCTCATCTATCAACTTTGAACCTGACTGGTTCTTTCACATCCTTTACACTGTAGAGCACGCATCACCTAAGAGTGGACTTTCCTGGTCAGCTTGCCTAAAGTAGCTATTACTCTCTTAAGGTCCTTCATAATACTTGTACTATATACTGTAATTAATCTCCTTGTTTATCTGTTTATTTTCGGTCTGCCCCTCAAGAATGTAAGCTCTGTGGGGGTGTGATCCTTGCTTCTCTAGATTGTGGCATGTTGTACGTATTTGTTAATAATATATATTTGTCAAATTCTTGATATTCTTAAACATTATACACAGAGATTAATTACTTTTTTAGGGGAGTGAGAGGCTGAAGTTTAGAAGTCTGCAAGTAATTGATAATTAAAGCAAATTTGTTTTTAAAATGAAATGAGGTTATAAATAGATGAAAGTTACAATCTAAATACAAAGTGTCATATTAAAGAAGCTTTATAGTTCAGTGATTTAATAGGATTTTTTCTTGCAGAGGTCTAAGAATTTGAAGATATATGAAATTTTTATGTTAGAAAATTAAAACTATAGCTGTGGAAACCCACTGGTGAGAAAGGTGCTAATCAGGCTGTGTTTATACTGTGGATTCAAGTAGTTAAAGAATTCATTTTAATATTTAAAAAGTCAATCTCATTTAATAATATTGAGCTAATTTAATAATTATAAATTTGGAGTTAGTGTCTTTGTATCTTATCATTTTTAAAGTGCAATTTAGGAAATTCCCTGGGGATCCAGTGATTAGGACTCTCCACTTTGATTGCTGAGGGCCCAAGTTCCATCCCATCAGGGAACTAAGATGCCACAAGCCACATGGTAGGCCCAAATAAATAAATAAATTAAACAAATGATAAAATTTAATTTGAATTCATTCTTAGAAAATCTGATATAATGTGAAGATGAGTATCTATAAAAGAATCAACTATAAAAGGAATTTCATCTTTCTGTAACAAATTCATTCCTTATTTTAAAAATAATATATTTCATTTATAAATCTAGTTGATTTATAAATTTTCAATAATGCATTTATTGCTTAAAACAGGGGTTATTGCTACATTATGGCTCAACTATTAATAGAATACAAATGAAATAGAAAATGCTGGTCCCTAGACAGTGCAACAAGTAATTGCTTTTGGATTCAGTGCTTTGAATTTTCTTAATTGCTTATTCTGAGAACACAATTTAACCAGTTTATATCTGGTATATCAAGACTACTAATAAGTACATTAATATTATTTATCTTTAATTTTCTAATATACTTAGTAATATCTGTTTCCTTCACCCCTCCCCCTTGTGATTTTTGTTTTGTTTTTAGGATCATCATGTCCAGAGATCATAACATTAAAAAGTCTCTTACACCTCAGATTTCTTGTTCGACAAGTGAATCTTATAAACAGCTGGATTTTTTGCCTGACAAACTAAGAGCAAAGCTGCTTCCTTTCCAGAAAGATGGCATCACTTTTGCCCTGAGAAGAGATGGCAGGTAAGTACTTTTTTCAAGACATGGTAAAATGATTAATCTATCAAGTGTGTGTGTGTGTGTGTGTGTGTAATTCTTTCATTGTTGTTCAGTAGCAAAGAGTCAGATGTGACTGAGCGACTGAACAATGAAAAAAATTTTTTGCGTATACGTAGTCTTCCCATTGATTTGATTTTTTTTTTTTTAACTGGATCATCAAATAATAGCTAGATCCTGAATAAGTAGGAAGAAAAGCTTTAGAGGACATTTTTGGGTTAACTGGGAAAACTTCAACTGGACTCTATTAGAGTGATGTTATCAAATTATAGATACAGTGATGGTGTTATAGTTGAATAGAATAATGTTTTTGTTCCTGGGAAATGCATGATAAAGAGTTTGGGGATAAAGAATCCTGCTATCTAAAGCCTATTTTCTGCATTTTCCCAAAAGGGAAAGGCATGCATTTGTTTAGAGAAACTTTGAGGGGTCAGCCAAAATAGTAACACTATGAACAATAGAGTGGTATTATAGTGTGTTCATCATATTACTCTTTTTGGCTTTTACATGAGAATTTTCCAAAAAACAGAAATTGATCTACTTTTCATGCCTTTATAAATCATCTATCTTATATCTGTGTCTGATTTTAACTTTTTTCTTTGTCTTTGGAGTACTGCAGTTGCACTATAATTTATTCTATGTGATTTGCTTTTTATTTATCCTGGTTGGTATTATACATTTTTAGTGTGGAATTTGTGTCATGTTGATTCTGGGAAATTTTTAGTATTCAAATATTGATTCTCACCCATTCTCTTCAGTATATACTTCTGCTACTCCAGTTAGACTTATACTTGACCTTTTCTCTTTATCCTATGCTTTCATTAGTGTCTCATTATCTGTGTTACATTATGGTTGTTTTAAAAAATCTGTCATATATATGATCTAACTGTTCTAATCTATTTACTCACATACTCAGTTTTTAAGGAACTTTTAAAATGATGAATAAAGTATATGGAAAACGTGCAGATCATAAACATACAACTTGAAGATAGTAATTCACCAAAATCACAAAGTAGAACATTACCCACATCCCAGAAACCTTCCTTTTGCCCTATCCCAATCCCTGTTGGCTCCCTTCTTTCCAAATGTAATCACCATCCTGACTTATTATGCCACACATTACTTTTAAATGTTCAAATCTATTATTATAATCACCCAATGGACATAAGTTTGGGTAAACCCCAGGAGTTGGCTATGGACAGGGAGGCCTGGAATGCTGCAGTCAGTGAAGTTGCAAAGAGTTGGACATGACTGAACAACTGAACTGAACTGGACTGAATCATCCATTTGTACTCTTTTGTATCTGACTTTTCTTATTCACCGTCACTGCAGAATCCTTCAGTATTGTTGCACGTAGTTGTAATTGGTTCATTCCCATTGCTATATAAAATTCCATTGGGTAAATATACCATAATTTATTTATTCATTGTACTGTTGATGAGCACTTGGGTTGTTTCTAGTTTGAGGCCTTTAAAGATAACAGTGCTGTGAACATTCTTAGACTATTCTTTTGGTAAAAATATATACACATTTTTTTTTGTGCATATATCAAGAAGAGGAATCATTGGGTTATAAATATGTGTATATTCCACTAAGTAGATGCCGCCTGTGTTAATCTGTCAGTACTATCAAAATGAAGTATTGACTGGGGGGTGGGGGATGGTTAAACAACTGAAACTTACTGTTTTCACAGTTCTTGAGTCTAGAATTCCAAAATCAAGATGTTGGCAGAGTTGATTGCTTCTCAGAACTGTGAGAGGAGGATCTGTTCCAGGCCTCTCTTCTTGGCTTTTTGTTGGATATCTTCTTCCAATATCTTTTCACATCATCTTCCTTCTATTTGTGTCAAAAATTTCCCATCTTATAAAGGCATCAGTCATAATTGGATTCAGGCCCACCTTAATGATCGGACTACATAAGCAGTGACTCTGATTCCAAATCAGGTCACATTTTGAGGGACTGGGTGCTAAGACATCAACATATGAATTCGGGGGTTACAGTTTAACCCATAACTTGGCCATACATTTTTCAGCGTGGTTTTACTGATTTATAGTTGTGTCCCCAGTGTGTAAGAGTTCCATTTGTACCACCAATGCCTCGTTTTGCTTATCTGTAATTTCATTTTAGGTGTTCTTGTAGGAAAATAGTGATACCCACTGAATTTTCATGTACATTTTTCTGATGGTAAACGAAGCTTGACAGCTCTTCATGTGCTCATTAGCCGTTCGGACATCCTCTTCTGTTAAGTGCTTGTTTGTGTCTTATCCATTTTTCTGCTGGGTTATCTGCCTGCCTTTTTCTTACCATTTTGTAGAGACTTACCAGATTTATATTCTGGATGAGTCTTTTGTCAGGTATCTGGGTTGCAAATGATTTTTCTCTGGCTATGGCTTGCCTTTACACTCTGTTAATGATGCCTTGATAAGCAGACATTCTCAAATTTAACTTCTTGTTAAATATTCTTTACTGGTATTGTGTTTTATGACTGACACAGTTTTGTCGACTACAAGGTTGTGAAGTTACTTTCCTGTGTGTTCGTCTAAAAACTTCTTTGTCTTATGTTTTTACATTTAGAATGACAGTCTACTTGGTTTTTTGATAGTTTGTTTGTCTGCTTGACTTGCAGGAGCTTAGCTCCTGGACCAGGGATTGAAGCCAGGCCTTTGGCAATGAAAGCTCAGAGTCCCAATCACTGGACTGCTAGGGAATTCCCTGCAGTCTACTTGGAATTGATTTTAATATATGGTGTAAGGTAGTGGCACCAACTTTTTTTGGCACCAGGGACCACTGTCATGGAGGACAGTTTTTCCATAGAACGTGGCAGTAGTGGGAGGGAATGGTTTTTGGGATGATTCAAGAGCCCTGCATTTGTTGTGCACTTTATTTCTGTTATTATTACATCAACTCCACATCAGATCATATAGGCATTAAATCCCAGAGGTTGGGGACCTTGGGTGTAAGGTAGAGGTGATGGTGGATTAATAGGTTATTTATTTAATTTTCATATATAAACATAAAATTGCACCATCACAATTTATTAAAAAGACCAGCTTTCCCCCACTGCACTAGAGTGTCACGTTTGGTATAAATCAAGTAGTTCTATGTGTATCTCTCTATTATAAGTGCTGTTGAATAGAACTTTCTGCCATGTTGGAAATGTTAGTATATGTACTGTTCAATTTAATAGCTGGCTGCTGAGATGTTGAAATGTGGCAAGTGCTCAAAAGGACTGAATTTTTTATTTTAACAAATTTTAATTTATTTAAATAGCTACATATGTTTAGTGGCTACCATATGGGACCGTGTAGGTGTAGATTCTTTTTTTCTGTTTGAACGATTGCCAATCTTCATGGCAGTACCATACTTCTTAATTACTATAACTTTATAATAGATATTTTAGTATAAGTTTTTCAACCCTATTCTTTTTTCAAAATTGCTTTTTCTATTGTTGACTCTCTGCATTGCCCTTAAATTCTACAACTCATTATTCAGTTTTCACAAAGAAGTTGCTAGGATTGTGAATAGGATTGTTTTGCATATACAGGTCAGTTTGGGGAGAATTGATATCTTTACAATAGGGAGTATTTTAATCCATGAATGTGAATTATTCTTCCATTTCTTTGGTTGTTCTACTTTTACTTTCACCTCAATTATTATATCATCTTTCCCTTATTTAATTTCTGTTTCAATAAAGTATTTTGAGTTCTTTTGTTTGTTGTTGTGTTATTGTTTTTTGGCTACACCATGCACGGCTTCTGGGATTTTAGTTTCCACATGAGGGGTCAAACTTCATAACAGTGAGAGCAGGGAGTCCTAACCACTGGGCTGTCAGGGAATTCCCTTGATAAAATTTTATACTTTTCAGTATATAATTTTTCACATATAATTAAATTTATTCCTAGGTATTTAATATTTTTGGCACTGCTATAAATTATCTTTTCCCCCAGGTGTTTAATATTTTGGTGCTGTTATAAGTTGTCTTTCTCTTCCCCTTGCTGTTTTTGTTTTTTCTTTACTCAGCTCTCCAAAATTTGATTATGATGTGCCTAAGTGTGGTTTTCTTTGCATTTATGCTTCTTAATCTGTGGACTGATGTCATTCATTAGCTCTGCATAATTCTCAGTTGTTATCTCTTCAACTACTATTTTTGCTCCTTCTTAATATTCCTTGAAAGTGAAAAGTGAAAGTGAAGTCACTCAGTTGTGTCTGACTCTTTGTGACCCCATGGACTGTATGTAGCCTACCAGGGTCCTCTGTCCATGGGATCTTCCAGGCAGGAATACTGGAGTGGGTTGCCATTTCCTTCTCCATGCCACCAGTTATATCCATTGGACCTTTTCTCAGTGTCTCACATAGCTCTTATTGCATTTTTTGTATTTTCTTTCTTTAAATTTCTCTGCTTCAGTTGGATATTTTTGTTTAGCCATAGTTTTGTTAACTTTTGTTATGTTTCACTGTTAAGTTAATCTATTGCTTTCTCTTAAGAAAGAGACATCACTCAAAGTATTGGCAACCAAAACCCATGCAGTATGTCTAAAACAAGGAAACTGAATTTATTACTTGCTCGGGGTTGCAAAGAGCCGGACACGACTAAGCGATTTAACTTCCTGACGCAAGGAAGACTTAGACTTCTTAGACTACTTGTGCTTCTTAGACTGGCTCTCTAAACAAAGCGGAAAGTTGGTATTGTGTCTGGTTTGGGGGAAGTCTGTAGGCTTTTAAAAAGCAGGATTATTTCAGAACTTGCTGAATTTCAGAGTGTAGTTTATAGAGATTAGCTGACTAATGTCAAGGAACAGTCAGTCCTTTCCAGTCTTGAAATTGAAGAATAGGAGCATTTTGTTTTCTGTTCCTAATGTCAGATAGTATATCCAATTTCTGTCTGCCTGGTATGTTGTTGGTATCCCTTTTCTTGCCATGTTTTAATTCCATCTCTTATTTCTGAAAATGCCTAGAACGGACTTACA